TCTATACCTTTCAGTTCTTCAGAAGAAGTCATTTGAAGCTTTTGACACATTTGACCCCTGTTACCTTGAAAGTAGGTCAAGGTTATTTTCATTCTCAAACTTTGTTGGGCTCCATCCCAGGAACCAATCAGCCAAATATGAAGATTCTATACCTTTTAGTTCTTCAGGAGAAGTCTTTTGTTAGTTCTTCAGGAGAAGTCATTTGAAGTGTTTGACACATTTGAACCCTGTGACCTTGAAAGTAGGTCAAAGTCATTTTCATTCTTAAACTTTGTTAAGCGCCATCCCAGGAAGCCATCAGCCAAATATGAAGATTCTATACCTTTTAGTTCTTCAGAAGAAGTCGTTTGAAGTTTTTGACATATTTGACCCCTGTGACCTTTAAAGTAGGTCAAGGTTATTTTCATTCTCAAACTTTGTTGGGCTCCATCCCAGGAACCAATCAGCCAAATATGAAGATTCTATACCTTTTAGTTCTTCAGGAGAAGTCTTTTGTTAGTTCTTCAGGAGAAGTCATTTGAAGTGTTTGACACATTTGAACCCTGTGACCTTGAAAGTAGGTCAAAGTCATTTTCATTCTTAAACTTTGTTAAGCGCCATCCCAGGAAGCCATCAGCCAAATATGAAGATTCTATACCTTTTAGTTCTTCAGAAGAAGTCGTTTGAAGTTTTTGACATATTTGACCCCTGTGACCTTTAAAGTAGGTCAAGGTCATTTTTATTCTCAAACTTTGTAGGGCTCCTACCAACGAAGCTTTCAGCCAAACATCATGACTCTAGGCCTGTCCGTTCTTCAGAAGAAGTTGTTTAAAGGAAAAGTTGATGGATGAGGACGGACGGACGGACGGACGACGGACGCCGCACCGCGACAAAAGCTCACTTGCCCTTCGGACAGGTGAGCTAATAAAACCACCTTATTCAATATCTAGCATACAGATTTCAGACTAAAAAGTATTTGAAACTAGCACCTCTGATTCTAAACAAGGAAAATGAAGAAATTTTAGCACACTGACTCCTTTGAGCCCCACCCTACAGCCCTTGGGGGTAGGGCTGGCTCAAAAATTTCAAAGTATCAAACTGTCAACTCAAGGTTATAATTCCAATCAAGTTATTAACATGTAATATTCAAAGTAACATTTGCCATTATAAACCATAACAAATTTTGCCTTCCCCCCCCTCCTTCCCCAGGGGGTAAACGTGAGACCCTAGGGTCGTAAACCATAAGACCCTTCCATCTATGAAGAGTATTTGATATGTGATTTCCTGATATAAACTATAGTAAAGTTTACCTCCTCACCAGGGGGAAACGTGAGACCCCAGGGTCATGAAATTCACAATTTTGGTCAAGCACCTTAAGACCCTTCCATCCATGAAGAGCATTTGATTCTACCATATCTGGGCCTTGAGGAGATTTTTTTTTGAAATTTCAGTCAATTCAACCCTTTTTTGCCCCACCCATCAGCCCCTGGGGGTCAGTCAGGGCTCATAGGTGCATACTATCAAACTGCTATCAAATACTGATAATGCTAACCAAGTTTGAATTAATTCCAATGGAAATTAAACAAATGTTGATCTAAAATGTGATTTCCCTATATAAACTATAGTAAAGTTTATATAATCCCTTCCCCATGGGAAAACCCCAGGGTCATGAAATTTACAAGTTTGGTAAAGCACCTTAAGACCCTTCCATCTATGAAGAGACTGAGTATTTGATTCTACCATATCTGGATCTTGAAAAGAAGACTTTTGAAATTTTAGTCAATTTGACCCTTTTTGGCCCCGCCCCTCAGCCCCCTGGGGGATTGGGACCATATTATTCAAAGTTTTGGTTGACCTTTGGCCATGGAAGATTTCTGCAAAATTTTATTGAAATTGGTTCAGGGGTTTTGTAGTAGAATTCGAAAATGTAAATTGTTTACGGACGCACTGCGGACGATGCACAAAGCCGGACAAAAGGCGATCGCAGTAGGTCACTTGAGACTTTGTCTCAGGAGACCTAAAAAATACATATACTTAGTACATATCATTTTTCTTATTCATAATAGTTTCCTACATTCACAAGCTTGGCTTTCAAACTGAAAAAATAATATACATTATCGCGCACTCAAACATATATAATAACTCCCGTAACAATATACATGTACAAGCACAATGTAGACTTAATTAAGAATCAACTACATTTTCATAATAAAATAAAAGATGCATAACAAAAAATACTGTTTATCTGTGAATGAAATTTAATAAATAGACATGGTATAACATGTATACATTTCAAATCTATGATGCATGTATTTGCATGTACTAATACTTATGCATGTTATCGGTTTCCAAATCCCACGAAAAATTTAAAAGTTTATGGAAGTATTAAAGACGATATGAAAAATAGAAATAGAGGAGCTGGAGCCTTAACACATTTTCAGGAATCGCCTCTGTCAGGGGTCGCAGGATTCCTTGATGAGAATATGTGCAGAGGGTTAAGATTTTTTTTTCAAATGATGACCTGGAGAAGATGGTTACCATCTTCAAATCAAAGAAACAACGACAGCTTGATCTTTGATATTATAAAGTCAAAATTGGCAAATCCAGAATAAAGATTGAGTAGAACTTGAATGAGAGATTGTGTTTATTTTCTTTTTTAAAAGAAGCTTACACTCTTCCAAAGTTGTCAGGAGAGCCAATCACATGGTGCTGAAAAAGCTTAAAATCATTTTCGGCCCAGGGGGCTTCGCATTAATAACATCAAGAGTGCACAGGAACACAGCAGTTTACAAATAAAACAAGAGGCCCAAGAGGGCCTGTATCGCTCACCTGAATATTTAAGCAGTCATAGCAAAATATTCTCATTAAATATTATATTGCACTAAAAATATTTCCCTCACAAACTTTGTTGGCTCCATCTGTTGAAACTACCAGCAAAATATTATTATAAGATTCTGTGCTTTTTGATTCTTCTTCAGAAGTTGCTTGACATATTTTCCCCTGTGATCTTGTAAGTAGGTCAATGTCATTTTCCTTCTCAAATTGGTTAGCTCTATTCCAAAAAGCTACCAGCCAAATCTTATGAATCCATTCCTTTTAGTTCTCAAGAACAAATCCATTAAAATGTTGTTGACCTCTGTGACCTCTAAAGTAGGTTGAGGTCATTTTCATTTGCAAACTTTGGTGAGCTCTATCCCGGGAAGTCACCAGCCAAATATTATAATTTTATGCCTTTTAATTCTTCAGAAGAAGCTGTTTGAACTGTTTGACATATTTGAACCCTGTGACCTTGAAAGTAGGTCAAGGTCATTTTCATTCAATAAGGTTGTTTGGCGGTTTCCCAGGAAGCCACCTGCCAAATATTAAGATTTTATAACTACCAGTTCTTCAGAAGAAGTCATTTAAAGTGTTTGACATATCTGCCTCATGTGACCTTAAAAGAAGGTCAAGGTCATTTTCATTCTCAAACTTTGTTCAGCTCTTTCCTAGGAAGCTACAAGCCAAATATAGAGATTCTATACCTTTCAGTTCTTCAGAAGAAGTCGTTTGAATTGTCTGACACATTTGACTCCTGTGACCTTGAAAGAAGGTCAAGGTCATTTTCATTCTCAAACTTTGTTGGGCTCTTTTACGGAATTACGGAAGACTGTCATAAACATGTATACATACAATCTACTAAAGGAAACAAAAAACTAGCAACATAAAACTGTATTTTAAAAAAATCAGAACAAACAACTTTTAGCAAATTTTTCCTGTCGGAAGTAGCTGTCATATGTTTCCGTGTGTCTACTTTGATTTAGTGTTCAAAGAAAGATAACTTGAATACACTAAAAAGAAATTCTTAACAGTGATCTGCAAGAACAAGAGCTTCGTTTGGAATAAAAAAAATATCTTTGATTGTCAAATTAATTATCAAAACAACTTTTTTTAAATTTAAATTTCACATTTTTAATTGATTTTTCAAGATGTCAAATTGAACGAATTCATGTAATTTTATAAATTTATTTATTATATTTATTTAGTTATAATATAGAATCTGTTATTATTTTTTTCTGCAGTTTTATATCGGTTTTGGTTCATGGTAAGTTATTTCTCATTTTGTTCTGTTTAAAATTGGTTAAAATTGGAAGTTCATTGCATTACAAGGTTTATGTTTTATTGAAAACACTGTTTATCGATATAAGAATGTCTCCTTGGCTCTTCGGAAGTGGAAAAATATCAGCAAGGAGATGTGGCCTCATTTGCATATGACATTTTCGTACGTTTGTCAGACTACAAAAGAATGAAATATATCACCGTTTTTTTTTCAGGTATGGGTTCATTTTGAGCAGGATAAAAAGTGCATTAAGCAAAACTGCATATTAATTCTAATGTTTTCCGGACGAACTTCCGGTATTTTTTTGTCAGTTTACAGACGATGGTCAAACGTCTAAAATATCCTTGTGTTGTGTCCAGCAGGTCACGTAGTTACGAGATATAGCTTGATATAATGTCTGCGCGGAAACTGGTGACTAGACGATATTAAACAGTTCTCTACCAGTAGGCAGATATTGATTTGAGTTGTGTCATGTTCGTATCACACATACGAAGGTATTATAGTCAAATGTATCAATAATGAATACAACAAATTAAACTTACCCGTACAACACATCGAATAGATCAAGTACAAAACAATCTGGATGTCCATCATAACCATGTCTGTCCGGATGCGATTTATCTTCTTTCCCATTAATTGGTCAAAACGAGTAAAATGATCGTCCTGATACTGTTACAGCATATTATCATAATGGAAGGTTATGCTTAGAACATTAATATTTTGACGAACAATCAGCGATTGGCAACTTAAATACAGGATGTTGATATATAACGATCAATTATGTGTTACACAACTATTACATATTGGACGAAAGCGGACTAGTAGGTACAGTTCATACCTTCATATTGGAAGCACGCTGCGCCAAGGGGAATAACTGATATCGATCAAATAGTTCATGTCTGGCTTTTAATGGTATGGTGCCGCTATGAAGAACCCCTACCTATCAGAATGCGTCTACAGAAAGTGCAAAATGTCTCCTTTACTTTTTCTTTGTCTGCTGGTAAATGCAGGTATGTTATTGTAAGACGATAACTTCGTAAACCTTACGGTAATTAGTATACTGTATCAGAGTGGGTTTTTTTGTTGCAGTTCCGGGTTTGCTGCCAGTAACAGAGTAAGTTATATTTTTAGTCAAGCTCCTAAAGTTAAATAGGGTGATTAAGATTGGCAATGCCAAATAATGTTGTTCTACATTGCCAACAAATGTTTAGTTTTTATAATATGAAAGTGGAGTGTCTTCTGAACAAAACAAAACAAAAATAATTGAAAAATCTACAAAATTTTAGATTTTGTGTGGTTTTAAAGTTGCGAAAAATGGACATTCAGCAGATCGGGGAACACCACTAACTTGCGTATAATACGCAAACTGGTCTATTATACGCCAATAGGGGTATGGATTTGTTACTAAAAATCCATACTCCAACTGGCGTATAATAGGCGAGTTTGCGTATTATACGCAAGTTGTGGTTTTCCCCAACCTGTTCAGTCTCTGGCACACTATTACGGCGATATCGCCGCGTGTTCAGATTTCGTATGCAAATTAGGTTTCTGGTGATATTGCCGCCGCAGCCAGGTTTCTGTTGATGTTGTGGCATTCTTATTTCAATGCTCTAAAAGCTGCATTTGCGGCGATATCGCCAGAAAGTCACTAGAATGTAGCTGGCACATTTGCAGCAATATAGCCACACTGCAGGCTAGGTTTCTGCCTGTAGTTGTATTTTAGCCCACTTTTTAGATTACAAGTGTGAGATTAATACCAGGTGAGCGATTCAGGCCCATTGGGCTTCTTGTTTTTGGAGCATGCTTGGGCCAAGGGGACTCATAAATCTGTATAAATCATATCTAGGTGAGCGATACAGGCCCTCTGGGCCTCTTGTTTTACCATGATTGTGAAATATCCCGATGAGCAATACAGGCCTTTTTGGCTACTTGTAAAAATAACTTTGACCTTGTACGAACAATTGAACAATACAACCCAATGAGTCTCTTGTTTATAATATAACTCAACTTCCAGGTAACACAGATGCTGTCACATTAACCGGGTCGTCTGAGTACGCTGTCCCCGGGAGTGAGTTTACACTGACGTGTGACGTACCAGAGGAGGCAAACCGAGTCCAGTTGTACCGCCGTCCTAACCTGACTGCTATACTAGGTAGTATACAAGTAGCTGGTGGTCAATGTTACAACACCATAACTACTACTCCTGTCCTCTGTAGCCCGGATGTCTGCTCCTGTACTACCACCTCGACTGTCTATGGTACAGTGTTCCAGTGGGTCATACAGCCACAGACAGGGGACCATGGATCTGTGTGGTATTGTTGGCGTACTAACCCAGCTCTACCTGAAGCTGACAGGGTTGTAAACAGTCCTGATTACACACTTAATGTGGCCGGTAAGTAAATTGTTGTTATGTTTGAAAAGCTGTTATTTCTCATTCATTCACCTTCCTTTAAGTCTATCAAAAGTGGCTGGGCTTATTCAGAGACAAGATGTATTGATCATATCCCTACAGTTAGAATTACGGGTAAGTATCCACTTTTTCTGGTATGAACGCAGGACGCACGCTGAACGAACGGAGAAAAGACGCTCTACGATCGCAGGATGAACTCAGTACGAATGTGAACCTACTGATTGGACAGGTGTTGCCGATTGGACCTTGCGCTGTCAGAACGGCCGCTTCCTGAAGGGAGTGAGGTTATCGCCCCACTACCGGCTGATAAACTGATACCTGGCCGCTATCGTCCGATAAACTGATCGAACTATGGAACTGTGCAGCCACTTTCATGGAACGACCGGTACTAGATATACTCGTGGTACTCGTCTGTTGGATAACCAAATTACTCCTAGTGAAGCGAACGTAAAACTACTCAAACAAAAAAAACACCCAAAAACGGGACTAAGTGCCGCAATACATCTAGTTACCTACCCAGAAGATATATATATTCTAAGTCCGTAACTAAACTTATAAAGCCGTGTTATATCACGGAATTACAGAAGAGGAAAAGATTTGCTAACAAATTGATTATTAAACATATAAACTAAACACTAAACTGTGTTAGTTCAAGTTATGTGGTTTTTAGCTCACCTCACTTCAAGGTCATCAGTCCGTCCGGCGTCCAGCGTCAATATTTTACTTTAAACAACTTCTTCTTAATAACCAAATGGGCTAGGGTGATGATATTTTGCCAGAAGCAAACCGGGATGAAGGGCTACCAAGTTTGTTCAAATAAATGACCTTCACCTATTTTCAAGGTCACAGGGGTCAAATATGTTAAAAACTTTTAAACAACCTCTTCTGAATAACCAAAATGCCCAGAGTGATGATATTTGGCCAGAAGCATACTGGGATGAAGGCTACCAAGTTTGTTCAAATGAATGACCTTCATCCATTTTCAAGGTCACAGCGGTCAATTATCTTAAAAAATCTTTTTACAACTTCTTGAAAAATGAATGACCTTTACTTATGATATTTGGTCATATACAGGCTGATATTTGGTCATTAACAGGCTGGGATGAAGGGCTACCAATTTTATCAAAATGAATGACCTCGTCCATTTTTAAGTGGTCAATATATGTTTAAATCTTTAAATGATTTGTGCTGTATAACCAAAAGGTCCAGGGTAATGGTATTTTGCCAGAATCATGCCAGGATGGAAGACTATAAAATCTGTTCAACCAAATTTCCTTGTTCGAAATTCAAGGTCACGAGCGTCATATGTTTAAATCTTTTAATAGGTTCTTATGAATCAAACACTGATATTCTGCCTGTAGTTGTATTTTAGTCCACTTTTAAGATTACAAGTGTGAGATTAATGCCAGGTGAGCGATTCAGGCCCATTGGGCCTCTTGTCTTTCATAAAATGATATAACTCCGTTTGTACAGAGTAACTTTTCGAAATGATTCGGCCTGTATGGATTCCGGTATAACAAGATCCAACATTACGGAGCAAACCACGGTCTACACTATGTAAACCTGATTGGATATGGCTTTATAAACGACAGAATTTTGAAATGAACAGGCGATTGGGTCCATTTCAGTGACAAAACATAACGTCTAAGCTATACATTCCTGTTGAGTTTTCAACTGCTAAGACAGGCAAAAATTTAAAAACAGTTAAAAACGGACGTACCGGTTGTTCCGCATAAACAATGTGCAATGAGCGTGGACCGACTGTGTATCAAGGCATGTTGATTGATTTGGGTTCTAGTGGCGAAGTCCTGCTGGGGAGTAAGAGGGGTCCCTCACAGGAACTGACACCTCTGGTTATTGGAAAACTCACATACCTACCTACCTATCACCGGTGGGACATTATATAAATATGACATTCATTAGCAGGTGACAGTGAATATTGTCAACCCGAGAAAACCATTGTCACCCGAGGCGAAGTTACACCAAAAGTCTTTGTAGCTCAGAAACGGCAGCAAACCTCGATAATGACATCTTGTTTGTTGATAGTCTGCTGTTTACAATCGCTATCGCACCGGCGCTTCAAGAAATTGGCTGTTGCCGTCAAACGTTCTTGTGACCATCACGGTGGGAAAACGAAGCGGGGCACGCACATTTTTTGCGCATGTGATATTTTTCACTGTCTCATGGCAATATCACCCGAGCCCCTTAAAACCAATGTATTTTCGGAGGGTGACAGAGATTTTTGTTTAATTTTCTCCCAACCAATCGAATAGCTAGAAATTCACTTGAGGTGTAACAAAAGAAACTATTTACCACATATTAATCTATTAATCCCCTTGATTTAAAATCTACCGTGGGACACACCAAGATCCATTTTTTGTGCGCACTGTAACATTATGAACCCCTCTCCCTACCCGGCCACCCTTCAAAAGGTGCAGTTAATAAGTACCATTGATTTGTGTAGTAGTAAATATTGAACTTGAAAGGGTAATGATAGTACGAGTCAGGTGATTTGGTACTCAGTTGCGACAAATTTTCTTACCTGTTGCTCGTAGCCACGAAATGAACGCAGAAGAATCGTCAGCTATATCGAGGTAGATCTGCCAGCCTTACAATTCATAAGCTCTCTGCGCCTATCTCATGATCATGGGTGATATGGATTAACATTGAACAGAGATGTACATGTATATAACTACTAGCTTTGCACGCTGTTCCTGTCTACGGTACCACAGATGTACAGTTACAATCTGAATTGATAATTCAACAGAAAGCGCTACTTGACTTTCGCGGACTAACACCATCAAACATGTTATGTGTTGTATTCCTGGGAAATTGCTATTTTTAGCTCACCTGCCCGAAGGGCAAGTGAGCTTATGCCATGGCGCAGCGTCCGTCTTCCGTCCGTCCGTCAACTTTTCCTATAAAAAAGAGGCATCCTTGGGGGAAGTGGATTTTTTTTGTATAAATGGTGGGTCTGGCCACCCTGGAGGCTGAGGGGCGGGGCCAAATAGGAGAAACAAAGCAAATTCTTTAGAATCCTTCTTCTTCTGTAGGTATGAAAGGATTTGGTCCATATTTGGTCTGAAGTATTCTTGAGTGAAGGGGAACCAATTTTGTATTAATGGTGGGTGTGGCCCCCCTGGGGGCTGAGGGGCGGGCCCAATAGTGGAAATAGAGGTAAAACTTTTAAAATCCTTCTTCGGACATCGGAATTAAGGGATTTTACCCTAGTTTTGGTCTGGAGGATCCTATGGCCAAGGGGACTCAATTTTGTATAAGCAGTGGGTGTGGTCTCCCAGGGGGCAGAAGGGCGGGGCCCAATAGGAGAAATAGAGGTATAACCTTTAAAATCCTTCTTTGACCATCAGGATTAAGGGATTTCTACCCAATTTGGTCTGGAGAATCTTGGGCAAAAGGGACTCAATTTTGTATAAACAGTAAGTGTGGCCCCCCTGGAAGCAGAGAGGCAGGGCCTAGTAGGGAAATTAGAGGTAAAACCTTTGAAAATCCTTCTTCTACCATAGGGATTAAGGGATTTTATCCTAATTTAGTCTGGAGCATCCTTGGGCCATGGGGACTTAATTTTGTATAAACAGTGGGTATGACCCCCCTAGGGGCATATAGGTGGGGCTCTGTTTGAGGTTTGTTCTCGCTATATCTCAAGTACTGGATGGATCTTTCTGAAATTTCATATGTACTTACAGCACCTACCATTGAGTGCTATATCTTTACTTCATACCAATTATTTTTAAACACATTCAGGTGAGCGATACAGGCCCTCTGGCCTCTTGTTAGTGGATAAAAATGAAACAAGTGCCACAAGATCTACATATAATTCACCTTGATGCTTAAAATAAAGTAACATTGCCTTGTAACATGATAAACATTTCGTCTTTGCTCAATGTTGGGGCAAAATTTTTGATGCGCATGTGTCGATCAATTTGACTAGACTACACGATTTCCCCTGTGAACCTTTTAGATTATAATTGATATGTACCAGAGTACATTAATTTACATACCATTATAAGTTTCTCCATGTAGTATACATTGTATGAGAAGTTGTCACAATTAACAGATCAACGTTGGTTTATCGAGAAATCTATCAAGGCTGATAAGCTGAATGTCTGTGTATTGTGAAATCACCAAGAATGATTGGTTGAACTGAAACGTCAATCACACTTCAGTACAGTAGCCCTCGTGTCATAGTGGACGGAGGTTTGGCCGTGTCATTTCAACACATCGTCAGTAAACATTTTGTTTATACAACAATTAAAAGTGAAAAAAATGAAAATATCGGTCATTACAAGTCTGCGCTTTATATAAAGGATTAAGATAATTATTTTTACCTGTAACATGGACTTTCATAATTTCATGTTACTTAATTTTATAGTATTCCAGTCGTATCAATAGGTGACAGAAAGTTTCGCCTTATCCTTACTACCGTCACCAATTGTCGATAATTCCTAGGTTTGGTATGGTTGGTAAAAACCTTCAAATTCAAAGTTATTTGCTGTAATTTGTGTGTAACTATATATTGCAATACAAAATAATATATTCAACAAAATCAGAATTAAATATGCATATCATTTAAAAGTTTTAAACCAAACTACAGCATTATTTTGGGATTGACAGGTGAACATCATGCATTTTGAGTGTAAAGTTTGTAAGAACTATTTCTCCGAAAGTCTTGGAGAGACCTTTTTCAAATTTCACTTGAAAGTTTTCAATAGTTCATAGCTTAACGCATATCAAATTTTGGGACTTAATGGAAATTAAAGATTGCCAACTGATGTCCATCTTGAGTTTTGAGAGGTAGCGTTTGTAAGTGACATTTCTCAGAAAATTCAGAAGGGATCTTTCTCAGATTAATGTAATTTCTCATTAAGGTTTCATTGAGAATTCAGTTGTCATTGACAGCACTTTTATTTTTGTAAAAATGACAAATTTTTAGTATGTTGCAAATTGTTATGCTATTTTTATACAATAACATTAATTATGTAATAGTGGCAAATAACATTTGACATTACTAGGTTTATGTTAATGTACAAGATTCCAGATTAGAATTTCCAACATGGGACTGGGTAATATTACCTGTAAGGACATTTAACACCATTTAAGAAGGTAAAAGATTGTATTTTGGAGATCTTATACAGATCCTTGCATGGTGGGTAATTGCCAGCCAGTTTGGAAAAATTTAAAAAAGGACATCAGTTGAATCTGAATATTGTTGTGTAAATTTTTAAAGAAATCTAAGCAAAGGCAATTGTTATGTTTGTCTGAGTGTTCTGATTTAAGCGAAAGTAGGATACTGTGAATTCTTATATCATTTATTCATGAAATATTCCATGAATATATATCATGTCCATACATGCAAAGTTTTGAGAGAATTGTTTAACAAATTAAAGAATAACTTTTTTACACTTTGTTTGACTGTACTTTGTAGACGGTCCTGGTACTGTTACCCTGTCCCCACATGACACTTTCTACACCAGGACTGAGGGGGACACGTTACCGGACATCACCTGTACAGCTGACTGTAGACCTGGCTGTACCTTTGTCTGGACAAAACCTGACAACACCAACTTTACTGCCTCAGCTGTGTTGTCACTGGGACAACTGGACAGATCAGAACACGGGACGTACAGATGCACGGCTAGGAATGTTGTTGGGGAGTTAACTACAACTACAAGTGTCACTGTACAATGTAAGTTTGGTTAGCCCTTTCACCCCTATGTAACTTCAGTAAACTCTTCCATGCATTGAACTGAATGAGTCCATTATGGTCTACAGTGGTGAAAGGGTTAGACTTAGATAAGGACAGGAAGTGAGGAAACCCAGTTTAGTCAGATGACCAAGTGCACTTAAGCGATGATTACCTCACCTGGTCTGAAGTTATAAATGTGACTGTTACCAAATCTGGGTCTGTCTGTCGTCCAGAACTTTTCCTTTAAACAACATCTTTTAAAGAACAGAAAGGCCAGCTGTCATGATATTTGACTTGCAGCTTCCAGGATTTTGTGAATATATTAGGAAAGACCTCAACCTACATTCAAGGTCATTAAGGTCAAACATTCCAAACAATTTCTTCTGAAGAATGAAAATATCTAGAGTCATAATTAAACAGGGCATGATTATTAACCCCTGCAACCAAGTAAGGGGGAGGGATAATAATACCTGATATTGCACATCCAGGTCTGAGGTGTTTTGTTTTCATTCTGACCCTTTTTAGAGAGTTATGGCCCTTTGTTGAAAATTCCTTGTCTAGACAACTTTTCCTAAACTACGTATACTATGCCGATTTCAGTAAAACTTTTCAGATGTGATAACTAGTTTTGTGCTTCCTATTCATTATTTCATTTGTTTTATCTCCATTTAAGAACACTTTGTTGGGGGGAATGATTACCTTTTTAGGTCACCTGAGCTTTGCTCAAGTGACCTATTCCAATCACTTTTCGTCCGTCGTCGTGCGTCGTGCGTAAACTTTTACATTATCAACTTCGTCTCAAGAACCAGTGGATGGAATTTTTTCAAACTTGGTCAGAATCATCCTTGGTATATGGGGCTACCAAATTGTAAAATTGGGATTCCTACCCCAACCCTAGGGGCCAGGGCGGGGCCCAAAAGGGAAAATTAACCAATATTTCAAAAATCTTCTTCTCCAGACTCAGAGGTATTACAGTCATTTTCTCTGCATGGATGGAAAGATAATCAGGGGCGTTATTTAAATTGTAAATTTCAGGACCCCCAAGCTATCCGTTCTCCCTTGGGGAGGGGGTAAAGTTTACTATAGTTTATATAGGGAAACAACACTTTTGGGTATATTTTGACAATTTTCTGTTGGTTATTATTTTTACTTGGTCAGAATTATCCTTGGAGGAGGAAGATGGTTTTAAATTGTAAAATTGGGATTCCTACCCCAACCCTAGAGGCCAGGGCGGGGCCAAAAAGGGAAAATTTACCAATATTTCAAAAAGTGAAGTTTACTATAGTTTATATAGGGAAACAACACTTTTGGGTTTATATTTTATCCATTTTCAGCAGAAAATTACTCAAACTTAGTCAGAATCTTCTTTGGTGAATGAGAGTATTACTTTGGAAAATTGGGATTCCTGCCCCATCCCCAGGGGCTAGGACGGGGCCCCAAAGGGAACATTTACCAATATTTTCAAATTCTTATCCTTTGATGACATTACAAGTATTGTATTTCACTTAGTTTACATGCTGATTTCCTCATCACATCTAAACAATAAAATAAAGCTACCAGTACCTATGATATAACTCAGGTGACCGCTAAGGCCCTTGGGCCTCTTGTTTCCCCCATATTTCCAATTTTGAGATATGGGAGCTTGTGGAGGATATCTTAGTTGGTCCTTGTTCATACAATGCTAATGTAAATATATATATGTATATATATGCATTGTATCACATACACTTTTTAGTTTTGATGATGGTGGGCTTTTCAAATCACCCTGCATCCGTGGTCCGTTTGTTCCATCCGTCAGTCATTCTGTCATTCCGTCATTACGCCCGTCCTTAAACAATTCTTGTTAGCGCTATGTCTCAGAAAGTACAAGAGGGATCTTTCTCAAATTTCACATGAAGGTTCCCCATGGTGGCTAGTTATGCATATCGCTTTGTGGGACTTATATATCACAAAACCAAGATGGCCCACAGCCAGCCGACTTGAATTTGAGATTATTAGCACTATTTCTCAGAAAGTACTGGAGGGATATATCTCAAATTTCACATGAAAGTTCCCCATGGTCCCTAGTTATGCATATCGTTCACAAAACCAAGATGGCCAATAGCTAGCTATCTTGAATTTGAGAGTTCAAGTTTGTGAGCGCTATTTCTCAGAAAGTACTGGAAGGATCTATCTCAAATTTCACATGAAGGTTCCCCATGGTTCTAAGTTTTGAATATCAAATTTTTGGACTTAAGGGATTATCAAGATGGCTGACATGTAGGCAACCGTCTTAAATTCGAAAGTTATTAAAGTTTGAAAGTGCTATTTTTCAGAAAATACTGAAGGTATATAAAGTATCCGGGGGTACATTTTGGTTGAGTGTATAAAAAGTATCCGGGGGGTGGGGAGTTGAAGATAGCTTGGGTAATGACTATAACATAACTGTAAATATTTCTACTTGACTCCCCAAACCTAATTGTTTCCAGTGATTGAGAATTATTTTGGCATAATTGTCTGGCCCCGGGGTGGGGATTGGTGGGTAGGGGTGAATAAACATGCAACTGTAACCTTCTGATCAACTTCTGAACTGTTATTGTTTAAATTTTTTGAAACATTAGTTTTTTTTCATAGAGGGTACTTTTTATACGGGGG